CTTGTATAATGTGGTGATTAATCAGTGCTAAACCAGGATATTTTCTATTTCAATTAAATGACATGTTAGAGAAGAACAGCAGATCTAGTGGGAGATTTGAGCAAGAGATGGCGCGCTTTATAGTCAGTCGAAGTGTCCGTTTAGAAACATACGATTTGAAGCTGCCAAAAGTCCAGTAATGTCGCGTTATGAAACTCGTGCATTGATTGTGAAAAGTGTGTTTTCTGGTTGGAGAAGAAGCATTTTGGAGCAGTTGCATGTAAGTTATATTAATGTGTGATCTGTAATCTGTACAAACTGCCTGGCCATTATTGTCTTATCTTATTATGGCCTTTAATCGCAACTCCGGCTTCGAACGTTGGCTTATGAAAGTGTTACTCATCCAACAAGCTAAAATGGGCAAGAACGTTAATACATAGCACAATTCCGCGGATTTGCACTCTCTTAGGACCTATTTACAGTCAAATACAGATTTTGCCATATCCGCCGAAGTTAATGAACCGTAACCAGTCAACCCCACCTTCGCTCTTAGATTGTACTGAATTGTGCAATCCGATTGATTTTGAGTCTCTATTGGGCAATTTATCATCGACTGGTTTCATTAAACTTAAGAAAACTACCAATATTCTTTGCAAATACTAATAGACTCATGGACAGTCATGAACGCAGCATTTTTTTTCATATGAAAATGAAACAAGTTTCACACATTCCATTCAACACCAAATATATTCCAAGTGCACACGCACATGTGTACTATAGATGTTCGACTTAAAACAAATCCTCCTTTCACTGAGTTCGGTACAATTTTATATGAAAACGAATGTAATTCGCGAACATAGTTTCCGATATAAAGTGCGTACTTCACAGCCTTTCAAGGTAAGCCTTGGATCATCCCTTGCCTGATGAAAAACCCTCTCTCGACAAGTCAGAAATTGAAAATTGCATTAGTAAAAATATAATAGTTTTCCAGATAATTATACTTTGATGAAAATCGACCAAAACTCACATGCTTAATATTTTGGGGCCTTGTC